AGCAGAAATGTCAGGGCCTGGGTTTGCATATGCAGGATTCTTCCGAAAAGAAAATTCCCCATTAATTTCAAATACATATATTCTTGGAGGCTTTCATACAGGAGACAGTTCTGAGAATTTCTATCCCTGGCCTTTGATACAAAGCCTGGACCAGAGGCACAAACTGCCGGGGCTGGCGGTATCATCTCATTTATGGGAGTTTAGACATGAGGTTCCGCCTCCTTACCTGTGATCCTCCAGCTACAGAAACAACTTTTGATGTCAGTGTTTGAAATTACTTGCTCAAAATTATAATTACTATATTAATGTAGATGACTGTAAAACTATATCTCGGCTTCTAAATGAAAACACTAGGCTGCCAAACCTTCCAGAAGAAATTAAACTGTGAATGCGTTGGAGACTATTACATCTCCAAAGATATTACCGTAGAATTTTCCCCCATTTCAGCAAGGAGAGATGCTGGCCGATATTGGAAACCTCTGTGAATTGCCTAATTATAGTTAATAAGGTCATCATCTTCCCACGAAATAGCCTTTCTGTTTTCCAACAGAGCTCTCAACAATTCTCCAAACTTCATTTGAAGGCTCTGCGAGAAGGCATCACATTAGAGAGCAGGCAGCAGGAGCCAGGGGCAGGAGGCGGGTGGGACGGAGGCGGAGACGTCCCATGTAGAGAGGAAGCAGAATTTTCTGAGGGCTGGCACTTCATGGCCCGGGTAAGCTGAGAGGCCACAGGATTCCTGGGAATTGTGGGGACAACGGCCACCTTACAACCCTGTCCTGCGACCCTGGGCCCAGTGCCAGGTCCCTCCTGAGGTGAGCAGAACAGTGTGACCTCACCCTCCTCAGGAGGGCTCAAGGGATGTGTCAGTTAGCCTTCTGTTGCTATAACAAAATGCCTGGGGAAAAATCAACTTAAAGGAAAGAGGTTTTGTTTAGTTTGGTTTTGTTTCTTGTGGTACCAGGGATTGAACTCTGGGACCTTGCACTTGTGAGGCAGGTACGGAGCCACTGAGCTAAATCCTCAGCCCTAGAAAGGGTTTTTTTTTTATTCTGGGTGCTGGGGCTTGACCTCAAAGTCTCACACATGCTGGAAGAGCACTCTACCACTCAGCTACACCCACAGCCCTCTCTTTTTTTTTTCACTGTGTGTGTGGGGGTAGGGGGTAGGGTCTTGATAACTGCCCAAGCTGGAATCAAACTTGTAATCCTCCTGCCTCAGCCTCCTAAGTACCTGGGATCATAGGCCCATGCCACCACACCTGGCTTGAAGGAAGTATTTATCCTGGCTCGTGGTTCCAGGGATCTCGGTCCATGGTAGGTAGCTCCATCCATCATGTCCAAAGGCTTAGTCCCCAGTGTGACAATTTGGGGGAGTACCGGGAATCGAACTCAGGGCCTCACATTTGCCAGGCAGGCATTGCACCGCTGAGCTACATCTCCAACCCTGCCAGTGTGACAATGCTGAAAGGTGACTGGACCAGGAGGCTCTAAATTCAGTGTATCACCCACTAAGGTAGAGAGCATGCAGGGCCAAAGGGGCTCCCCACATGCTGGGGAGGAGGCAGAGAGGAAGGAGCTAGACGCATCCCCGGGCACTGCTCCGCCCACGCCCTACACTAGGCCCCGCCCCTCAGTTTCTGTACCTCCCAGATTGCTGCGTGATGATCCTGCCTCAGATCCAATCACCACGCAGAAGTCCAGCCTCCCTATAGGGCTGCGCTGGAGGCCAAGCCTTTGCAGCACCAGCCTTTGGGGACCCACCAGAACCAGGCCACAGCACCTGGGCTGTCCTGCCCGGTACCCCGCCGCTGAGGCAGGCAGCCCACGCTACTCTGCCCACACAAACTTCTTCCCATTCCTAACAGTTGCCAGGAAGTCAGAAAAGCCAGAGCTGGATTCCCCTTTAGGTCTCTACCGGGAAGAGTTAAAGGCATCATACCACAGTGATCCAGGCATACCTGTGTTTACAGCAGCACAATTTATAATAGCTAAGTCTTGGAAATGGCCTATATGCCCATCAACAGATGTGTGGATAAAGAAAATGGATATTTATATACAGTGGAGTACTACTCTGCCATAAAGAAGGATAAGCTTGAGTCATTTTTAGGTAAATGGATGCACCTTGAGACCATAATGTTAAGCGAAATAACTCAGACACACGGGTTTAAATATTGCATTGTTTCTTTTGTGTGAGAAACCTAAAGGGTAAATAAGGAGAATAATGGAAGACAGATGTTGGGAAGTAGAAAGAACACGTTCAAATGGGAAAGGAAACAAGAGAGGGGGAAGGGAAGGTTGGAAAAGGGACTTTTAAAAAGAAATGAAAGGGAAAAACAGAAACAGCTTTTATAAATGGAGAGGGGAAGAAGGGTTGAAGGGAGGAGAGAGGAATGGGAAACAAAGAAGAATGAAGACATACGCACAGGTACAAATTCCCCATGATGGATGCATGGCAAACATGTACCAATAAAAAAATTAAAGGAAGAAAGCAGAGCTGGGGTCTCACTGCGTGCATGCTGTACAAATCCACAGCAGTGGGACCGCAAGGCACAGGGCGTGAGGACAGCCTTGGCGTGAACACGAAGTCCACACCCAGGAGCCAGGGCTGGGGGTTAGGTCACCCCAACAAGCCCGTCGGTGCGGAGCTGACGGCAGCCGGGCAGCAGGCGGGAGCAGCTCGGGGTCACCGCTGTGGTGGAGAGGCCTGGGCAGCAAGCGCGCAGCCCTGCGCCCGGCCGGAACCTGCGGGTCCAGGTGAAGGCCTTTGGGCTGGCAGCTCCCCAGGCAAAGCCTCGGTCTCCAGCGCCCCCATCCACGAGAGAAGGAAATGCGCAGGCCGCTCTCCCTGCCGGAGGGAAGATGGCTCACGGGAGCTCCGCGCAGGAAGGGAACCCCAAGCTGAGGGAGGGGACAAAGCCTTGCTGAGAAGAGAAGGCGCAGCAGGGAGAGGCAGGATAGCGTGCGTGCGTTATGTTTGGGAATCCCTAGGAAAGAACGCAAAGCACACGGCGGGTGGCAGACCCAGGCCAAGCGTGCAGGGCCCAGTTTGCACCAGTACCGTCTGGGCTGCGTCCCACATCCGCAGTGTGGGCAAACAGCAGCGCCAAGGGCGCCCAGCAGAGTTCCCAGTAGTGGACAGCAGGAGTCACAACCACTGCAGTCACCCGCTCCCACAACCACGGAAAACGCACTTCCTGCGCAGGGAACCAATGGCAGAAGGGGCTCGGGGGTGTGGGCGAGATTGTGGGCAGATGGGTCACAACTGGGAGAGTGGCTGGGCGAAAAGATGCCCGCTCTTCGAGGGCCGGGATCACACCCGCCTCACCCGACCTGCCACCTGGGAGATGCTCGTCAACACTCGGTGGAGTTAAGGAAAGACGACGGCGGCAGGGCGGGCAGAGGAGGTGAACGCCAGCTGTCACCCTGCTGGCAAGCGGGCAGGCTAGGTCGCCAGAATTCCACGCACTTCGGCAGAGGACTTGGGGCCAGAGATAGCAACGGTTTACGGCTCGTGGAGGCAATAAACACTGCTGCTGTTTGTGGTGGCATCCCCCTGTGATCCCAGCACTCAGGAGGCTGAGGCAGGAGGATCACTGTTGAGTTTGAGGCCAGCCTGGGCTGCACAGTGAGTTCAAGGCCAGGATGAACTACATAGCAAGACCCTGACTTACAAAATTTTTAAAAAACAGTAAACCCTGCTGAGCCAGTTCCCCCCCACCCATGGGTGACTCGGTGAGGGTGAACCTACAGCAGAATGTACTGCAGGGAGGAAAGGCGATGAGAACTCCGATCTTCTCTAAGAGGCAGCCGGATCTCTGCTCCAGAGAGAGACTCCATCTGCAGTCTCCAAGCTGCCCACTACACAAGTATCCTTGAAATAAACTATTCTCACCTTTTATCAGAAGGCTGTGCAGAAATATGAGAGCAGGGAGAATCACACCTGATAGGTCTTGTGCAGAAACCCAGCATGCAGACACAGACACCTTTCACTGCCCTCTGCCTGCCTGAGCCATTCCTCCCCTCACTTATTTAACAGAACTAAAACTAACATTAATTTGCCAGCCTTATCGGCCAGAACAGACATGTACCTCAGAGAAAGTGAGTAACACACCCAAAGCTGGTTGGGTCTTCCCATTTTCATACATAGTACTGTCTCAGTCAGCTTTGTGTAGCTATAATAAAATACCTGAAGCTGGGAAATTGATACAGAAAAGAGACTCATTTAGCCCACAGCGTGTTAATCCAAGCACATGGTGCCAGCATCTGCTGGGCTCTGGTGAGGGCCTTCTAGCTACACTGCAATGTGCTGGACAGCACAGCGTGGAGTTCACAGGAGCACAGACCACAGGGTGGCGAGACAGGAAGCAGGAGGCCGGGAGGGGTCTGGTTTCTCCCTTTTATCACAACCCTTTCTCGTGGCAACTGCGCACTCCTGAGACCAAGGTTGTGCCTGGAGACCCAGCCTCCTTCCACCGCCGCTTTATTCCTGCTAACTTAACACAAAACCTGGCATCACCTCGACTACCCACGTCACCCAGTGTCACCCATCACCAAGCGTCGGTCTTCCTGTTCCCAAGCCACCCCCATCCTCTTCAACTGGACACCTGCAGGTGCCCTCTGTGCCCGCCCTCTCAGTCAGCTGTGTCACCTGAAAACACCAGGTGTCGTCCAGCAGTGGGTGTAAGTCCAGCGGCATCACTCCCTGCTCAAAACAGGTAGTTTCTGGCTGGGTGTGGTGGCACACACCTACCGTGTTTCCCCCAAAATAAGACCTAATTGGAAAATGAGCCCTAGCGTGATTTTTCCAGGATGCTTGAAATATAAGCCCTACCCTAAAACTAAGCCCCAGTTAAGATCGTCAGCCAGATGGATGCATTTAGTACGTCCACTGCCACGCACAATGGATGTACCGGATTATAAAATAATAACATCAATATATAATTAAATATAAATAATATTAATACTTAAAATAAATGATAATGTAAATTATAGCTAAGTCTTTGTAAATACCCAAGCAGGCGCCTTTGGCAAGAGGCAACGCCCCTGTAAACAGATGAACTGGAGACTTACTGCCGAGGGACTGATTGATCGGAGCAGACACAACACGCAAGTAACGTGCACACCTGATAGGAAGGGATGTGCTTGTGCCCACTATGAATCTTCGTAATTCAGTGTGTTGTATGTGTAACACACATACTTAATGCACTCGTGTGAAATAAAGCAACGTTTTCTGGATTCTGGTGCCTGCGGTTTTTCGCCGCTTTCGTGTGGACCGTCACTCTTAGCTGTCATCATTTTTGTTGCCACTCCTGTCCTGGAAGTCTTCAGTTAACACTGGATTTAATGGAAACTTCAGGAAGAGGTCGCGAGATGGGTGAAGAACTCACGGGATGGAATCACTGAGAGCTGCGTTGCCAGTGCACTGTGAGCCGGCTGCACGGAGAAGCAGCGCTCACTCGAGGAGGGGTCCGCTGCTGGACACGAGAGGTTGGGACCAGTGGTTCCCAGGAAATGGAGTCACAAGAACTTCGGGCCGAATTCGAGGTTGGAGAGTTATGATGATGCTCCGGAAGATGATGACATGACTGTATCTGAGTAAATGCAGATTTCTGTACATGAATAAATGTAGACTGTTGCACATGAAAATAAAACAGCCCCTAAAAACAAGCCCTACTGTGTCTTTTTTTGGGGGGAGTGATAATTACCTTATTTATAGCCAATACAGAGAATAGGATCTCAAGAAAACTTATGATTTATATTGTTTACTCATGTTTATGCATGATACAATAATACATATTAAGAATAAGACTTTTTAATAGAAAAAGACTAAGATTTAAAATAGACTGGCCTGATATCTGGTAACAATAATTAACTTTTAATTGATAAAATAAGTAATGACCATTAAGGACAAGTGATAATCTAAAAATGTCTGTATTTTCCACCTATTGTGTCTTCTAGAGCAAAAATACTGACTTATGAAGATTCATAGTGGGCACAAGCACATCCCTTCCTATCAGGTGCTTTAGTTACTCATGTGTCGTGTCTGCTCCCACTGGTCCCTCAGCAGTGAGTCTCATCCGTTTCCAGGGGCATTGCCCTATTGTGTCTTTTAGAGCAAAAATTAATGTAAGAACCAGTCTTCTTTCCAGGGAAGTTCAGTATAAGCCCAGCACTCAGGAGGTGGAGGCAAGAGGATTACTGTAAGTTTGAGACCAGCCGTGCTACATAGTGAGTTCAAGGGCAGCCTCAACTACATAGTGAGACCCTGTCTCAAAAAACCGAAAACAGGTCATTTCATATGAAGTTAAATATACAATTCCCCTACAACTCCACAGTTCCACTCCTAGATATTTACCTGAGAGAAATGAAAGCATGTAAACACAAATCTTCATAACAGTACAATCTCTAGTGGCCCCAAACGTCTGCCAACAGAAAAATGAATAAACAAATACTGGTATTTCCATATAGTAGAATACCACTGAGCAATAAAGAGGAATGTAATACTGAGCAATGTGGATGGGTCTCAAAAACTGGTTGCTACATGACAGCAGCCAGACACGAGGGGTTATATGTGGCACAGTTCTGTTTATACAAAGTTCTAAAATGGGACCAACTAACTGCAGTGAGAGGAAGCAGATCTGTGGTGCCTGGGACAAGCCAGGAGGAGGCAGAATGATGATGGACGGCACCTAGGCCATTCTGGGCAGCAGAAAGGTTCACCTCCTGATGGTGGTGATGTCACACGAGTGTGAGGATTCGGCCAAACTCAACCAACAGTGCTCTGAGAAAGGGTGCGTTCCAGGTAGGTAAATTAGACCTCTATAAAGTGAATTCACTTTCTTTAGCTTACAGACCTGCAGTAGCTCTCCACTTCGTTCTGAACAAACTCTAAGGCTCTGTTGTCCCATAGGGGCCTCTGGTAATCCGGGCGGCTACGGTGCCAACCTCCTGTCCAACCACTCTCCCCGGCTGTCTGCCCATGTACAGGGTGAACCAAGAGATCCCATTATCTCAAGGAAAAGATTAAAAACAATACAAAAAGGTCAGGAGCACACACTTGAATACTTACACTTACAGAGATATTGAAAAAATAATTGAATGCTGTATTTATGTTTAACTTAGCAACCTGTGCAAGAGCATCTCAAACCATCTATTGAGCTGAGGCTGTAGCTCAGTGATACAGCTCTTGCCTAGCATATTTGAGGTCCTGGCCTCAATTCCCAGCACCAAAAAAAAAAAAAAAAAAAACCTCAATATAACAAATGCAGAAAGTCTGGGGGTTTTTTTTGCACATTTCAAGGAACTGTATGCACATCTTCCTGGCCATCCTGAGAGCAGCGTCTTCATCATCACACCCTAAACGCATGTTTAGCACAGCCAAAGGGAGCCCTAGGCCCAAGCACTTTCTAAAGACCATTTCATTTAATCTTCACAAAGCTAACCAGGAAACGCATGGGGTACCAAGGATACTGTAACCTCTTCAGGGAAAAACAGCCGCATCTGCCAGACAACATGCAGACCTGCAGCAGAGATGCATCATTGATTCAGCACCAGCTCACTCTGCATTCTTCAGTGACATCGTAGCTTTCCAAAGGTGTCTTCCGTGGCAATGAAAAGAAAGAGGCAAAAATCGGTGTCGAACAGGAAGCAGAAGTGGCAGTGTCCAACCTGCTTCCTGTATGCGAGAGCCAACAGGTGTGAAGAGACTAGGACGTGAATATTTGTTAAGCTGTAAGGTCCACCCTGACCAATGAGCTGGGAAGATGGATGGGGCTTTGAGCTTTTCCTCCACACCCGGACTCTGAGAGGTGTGTGTGCCTGAGAATAAACTTTCTCTGGCCTACAGGATCCTGCAGAAGAAAGTGACTGTGACCCAAAGGCACTGGGATCTGGGGACATTTGAGACCTTTCCCCATCTTCTCTAGTTCACAGTCAGGGAAACTGAGGATTCTTCACCCCCCACCACAGAACCAGGAAGCTGGGCAGCAGTGTTACAAGGCATCCTGGCCTTCAGCAACTCATTCACCACTGCATGGTTTCCTGGAGACAATCTCTGGGATGGGTAAACACCAGAAACAAACCAGGTCACAGACAAGAATACTGAAGAGGCATCGCACCTGCTGTTCCCTCTGCCGGAAGCGCCTGCTCCTGCACGCGCCACACCCGAGTCCTCGTCTCTCCAGTCTGGGCACGTGTGTGATCGTCACCATGGATTCTCCTCCACCTGCCCAGCCACTCTTCCCTACTTCCCAGTACATACAGCTTTGCAACTGAGAACCACCTCATCATGAACGATTATGAGCTAGGGACTCCGGGTCCTTGCAGGGCCCAGCCTGCAGCAGCGCCTCACTGGCGGCTGCAGTGTCCGGTGACATTCCCTCCCCTAGGCCCAACCAAAAGGAGGCTCCCAGGGGCTCCCTGAGGCCAGGCACCTGCTGCACAGGTGTGGAAAGGGGGCTCTTGCTCTTCCTAAGCATGGTGGCCGTCAGCTCCAAGGCCACTTTAGCACACAATTTGACTGTCTACCTCTGGAAACTCCAAAGGCCTCTGCCCCAGAGTATTCTTATTTTTAAACACTTGTTTTCTGAAATGGTAAGCTTTTTGCGGCTACTGCAAACAATATCAAGAGAGATCCACAGAGAGATGGAAGGGGGAAGGGTAATTATTATCAACAAAACCAATGAGAGGGAACAAATGTATTGGGCCAAAAATCTAATAAAATAAGTATGCAGATTCTGGAGCAGCTCTGCAGGAAGCAAATTACTCTTATGCGTCTTCACAGACAATACACAGGAGAGGCAATTTATTAGTTTGTGCCATGTTGGCCTCAACATTAACCTGTCTCCCTAACGTACTTAACTCGAAGCCGGCAAACTGCTTACTTAACTTGCATTAAGACACACAGGGCCAGTGTAGGTTTGCTATTCACAGCCTCAAATTCAATTTCAAGGGATCCCTGTTCCAATTTCCTGTCGAAAGTTACTCCATGTTCTAATTCATCAGTGTCAGGAAACACAGTCTTTACTTAATTTCTTCTCATTATTCATACAACCAGGGATCACCCAGGGCAATTTCTCCTCTTTTGTGCACCTAACAACAATGATGGAGCTTTTACTTTTCATCTTTTCAAGTGTCAGCCGCTCTGCTGTTCTCCTCTGCCCTCAGATGCAGGCCCTTCAGGAGACCCTCGGGTGGCTTCCTGGGGACATCTTGGCACAGTGACACAGCTTGGGATGATGACGTTCAAGCTGAACTTTCAAGATTTCTGACTGCTTCGTATTCAAAAAGGCAATGCAGAGTCAGCAAGCATGGAGACCCACCCCACGACTCTCCAACACCTCAGACCAGCCCCATCACAAGTGGCCTAGGGCTCCTCCTCACTGCAAGCCTCCATCTCCAAACTGACCAGACACAGAGCTGCTGCCCGGAGGCAGCCAGGAGGAGGCCCCGGGGTGAGACAGATAATGGGGGACTTCTTGGGGTGCCTTCAAGCTCCCAGCTCTCCTCCCCCAGAAGCTAACCCTGAACACTTCCACGGACATCTTGGGGACCCAAACACAGGCTGCAATCTGCTCATCTCAATAAGCCCCTCAAAAACAATAAGCTCCTCAAATAAAATGAATCCGGGGCTCCAAATTTCCTCTGCAAAACATAACTTTTAATAAGACTGAAATAGAAAAACAATTCATGCATTTTATCTCCTGTTTGATACACTTCGGTATTTTTCTACAATGAGCATACATTGTTTTAATAACCAGAAGAAAACAAACATTATTAAAGAGAAAATCATTCACATAGATTTTTTTTGAAAAACAAAACACCTCAAGCACAGAAAAGACAAGCCGGAAACGTTTGCATAGTCTTCTGGCGTCATCTGCTATCGTTAGCTGGTAATTACTTTTGTCCCTTCAGAGGAGCAAAATATCACAAGTGTTTGGAAAAGGTCTGATGAGTCACTCAGCACTGCATGGCTCTCAGCTGCGTCACTCAGCTTAGTGCTGCCTGCGTAAATATTCATAACCTCCCCAATCACCTCCTGCTTTGGAGATGGAGTGGGGGCGGCCAGGAGGGAAGGAGCACTGAGGGGGTGGGGTCTCTGGCCTGATCCCCCATGCGCCCCTCCATAAGAACATGACCTTTCTGAATCTCAGCTTTCTTCCGCTAACGCCCACCACGCTGGCTGAGTAATATTGAAATCCAATAATCAGTATGCAAAATGAATGAGTTTTCAATAAACAGACGAGTTTCTAAGTCCCTAAATCTTAACTACCTTTACACTCAGATCCCAAAGCTGTACAGAGAAGGCAGGAGCAGCAGCAGGGCCCTCCGAAGCCAGGGACCATGAACCCCATCGCACCTGCCTGTCTTCGGGGCTTCTCAAGGTCTGTCTTAGAGGCCTCTCTTGGGCTTTCTCCTCAGGCCCTCAAGCACCATCCTTGACGGGCCCGTGGCACCCAGTTCCCATAGGACAAACTCCAGCTTGAGCCCAACCCTCCCTGCAGGGTGCCAACCCCCGCCGGGGTACCCCAGGGCCAGCTCAGTGTCCTGACTTGTGTCTGGAAAGCCCGAGGCCCTGGAAGGCAACTGGCCACACCTCCATACCTGCTGCAGTCTCTGGCACCCAGACTCAGCCTAGCACAGCCGGGCATCAGGGCCTGCTGGACCACCAGAGCATGGACCTGTGACCTCTACTCTTAATAATTCTGAGCTCCAGGAGGCAGCTGCCTCCAAAGCCTGCAGAAAGAACACACCCAAAGCTCCCCGTGTGGGGGGTATGGATGATGCACAGGTTAGGTTTTTATTTGCATGTACTCAGCTGCTCCTAGCAGCAAGGACCCCTGAAGAAGGTGCAGGAAGCCCCAGAGCCACCCATTGGCCCGGCCTGGCTGCCAGCCCTGCCTCAAGCCCAGCCACCATCATGCAGAAGGCCCACATGGCTGATCTCGGCCAGGCGACTTCCCTGTCCCCATCTCACCTGAGCTGGGGAGATGGATGGGGCTCTGAGTTAAAAAGCCTTTCCCAGGGGCCAGGGATTTAGCTCAGTGGTTCTGCCGCCTGCCTCACAAGAGCAAGGAACCAAGTTTGATCCCCAGTACCAAATAAATAAATAAATAGCCTTTCCTCGCTTGGACTCAGCTGAGAGTAAACAGGGGGGTTATCAATGTCAGGGGAGGGCAATTATCCCCAACATGTGGACACATCAATAAGAATCTGAGAGCAACTTCGCAGCAATATAGGACGCAATGCAAGTTAAACGTCTGAGCACTGAGGATGCATCTTTACCTAACCTCTCAGAAACTCTCCACTACTATTAAGATGTTTGCTGCAGGCTCAAGCTGGCCATCGATCTTCGTCCTCTGGAAGGACCTCGGTGAACTGTATCCTCTGCACAACTTGCTCCTCACAGGGCCCTGGGGAGGCTGCCCGGCCTGCAGGCTCCTCCCCGCCACACCCTCCCCTGCACCTCTCCTCCGGGATGCCAAATCGCCATCACAGGGGGAGGGGCATCGGAGAGAAGGAAGAGGAGACTCCGTGCCTGCCCTTCTCACTGGCCCCAGGGCTCCTTTCCTGTTCACCCTGCTCTGTCAGGCAGGCAGCACCGCTGCTCCAAACTGCACATGTGTGGCACAGAGCCTGCAGCCCTGCCCACCACGCCACCCACTCACTAGCCAGCAGCCAGCACCACTGCCCTGAGCCGCGCCCGGCCCACACGTCAGGAAACAACCTGCATCATCTCTTCATGCCCCATCTGAGCACCCAAGGAACCGGAAAGCCTGTGCACAGCTGGGGCCCCGCCCCACTGGGCCAACTACAGGGAGCAACACCCAGGTGGGTTTCCGTGGCAGCGCTTTTCTGAAGCATTCCCATCAGCCCTGCACTACAGTACTGAAAGCCAAGGTACCTTGGAGCCTGCCACCGCAAAGCAGAGAGCTTGGCCCCAGAACCCTGAAAGACAGGCCAGGGGGCATTTACCTTTGCCCGAGACTTAGGTTCCTGGCTCAACAGCTCAAAAGCTTAAGGAGCAGTGGCAAGTGGACCCCCAGACTCTGTAGGCAGAGGAAAGCCAGGGCAGTGCAAGGATGCAAGTCAGGAGGGCCAAGGTCAGGGCGGCGCTCACTTTACCACGGGTGACCAGCCAACGGGATTAACTTAATGCTCTTTGTTTGGCAGTGCTTCCCTGGGTCCATCATCCGATCGTACTCCCCAGAAGCTGCCAGCCAGGCAAACTGGAATATTGATCGCTGCAATCATCTCGATGTAAGTCTGAGGGCCAAGCACTTTGTGTGTGTTTCAATTTAGAAGAGTGGGTTTGCCATCCTAATCCCGCCTCATCCCAGCCAGCTCCACTCTGGGCAACAAATGGGCTCCTACAAAGTGCAGTTAATCAGCAATCTATTAATGGAATCACACCTCCGCATTGATTTTACATTGTCATTTCAAAATGATACCGATTCATTTTCCATCTTCAATTTTAAGCACAGGAAAGGAACCAGCAGTGGTTGTGCCTGTGCTCTGCTCCGGGCATCACTCAGTGCTGCCACCTTGCTGATACAGCCACGCTGCACAAGTCAGCCAGGGAGAGGGAAGGCCAGGCTCAGATATGGCTGCCCAGCTCCTCCCTGCAGTCCCAAGGACCTCATAATCCTCTAGGCCTTTGCTTTCTATTCGCTGCTCTGCCACTTGGCCATGCTGCTTGAGCAGGAAAGGGGTCTGGCTCTCAAATTCCAGGTGGCCTTCAGGGCAGCTCTGCCTCCTCCAGCCAGTAGGGCGCCCCCTAGACACAAGGGTGAGGCAGATGTGACATGTGGCCTCCCCAAACCAGTTGTACTAAAGAAATTTTAATTCACCCTGAAAACCATTTATTGGGCACTTCTGATACAGAAGCCCGAAAAGGCAAGACAGGTCACAAGTGGAAGCAGGCTCAGCTGTCAGTTTCTCAGAGACAGGCCCTTCAGACCCGAAAGTGTCCTCCTGGCTGACAGGAGAAATGTCACCCTAGTGGCATTTATTTTTTTTAACAAAGCATGACTTCATTAAGAGAGAAAGCAGGCCAGGGATTTAGCTAAGTGGTGCCACCACCTGCCTCCAAGTGCAAGGTCCCAAGTTCGATCCCCAGTACGAAAAAATAAAATAAAAAGAAAGAAACCAAGACTGGGCTTTATCACAGGCAAACCATCCAGCAAAACAAAGCTCTCAGATTCATGTAAAACTGTAGCTTAAAACTTATTCATAACATCAAAGGTAGGGCTGATGTTTAAAGAACAGAATGGGACATAAGGTAAAAATAAACCATGAAGGGCTGGGGATTTAGCTCAGTGGTTTCGCCGCCTGCCTTCAAAGCGCAAGGACCCAAGTTCGATCCCTGGTACCAAAAATAAATAAATAAACCATGAAAACGCAAGCTTGCACAAGTGGATGAATCTGGACACACAGCCGGCATCCAGCAAGGGCCTGGACGCCCTGGCCCCTGCCTCCTCCGCCGACACTGGAAGGCCCCGGCACCATGTTTCTCGCCAGCCTCGGCCCACGGAATTTCCTGTCAGGCCTGTGGCTCTCTGTTCCACAGTGGTTGCAAGCTGTTAGGAACTTTTCCTCTGCCTGCTTAATGACTTCCTCTGGAGGTCACGTGGAGAGAAAATCGATTCGGAATCATGGATGCTCATTGCAACTACTCCTCAGGAAGGTCCAGGGCCACCTATAATCCTCTCATTACCTCGCTGCACTACAGCTAGTTTGGAGATCACAAAACGGCCTCCGAGAGCCTAGGCAGACCTCCGCCTTTGGTGAAAGAAGGACCCAGTGCCCAGAGGCTGCCTGACCTGGTGGGGCCTCAGCCGAACCAGATGGTTGCCTGGCCAGCAGGCAGCTCGTCACTCGGGCCGGGCCCCGCGTCCCCCGTCTCGCCCCTGTCCACGGCAATAACCACGAGAAGAAACGAGTCACTCTTCACCAGATCATGCTGTAAAGTCAGGATGTTGCTTTTTTAGGAGAAAGTAATAACAAAGGGAAGAGGGGAAGTGTCTTAAATAAAAGCTGTCTTCCGACATGATGGATGGTAAGCTTTTGGGCCCGAGATGGAATGGTGCACAATTATACCAAGGTAATAATGGCTGTCACATGTCACTACCTTTTGACAGAGGGCACTTGGGAAGAACTCACACACAGAAAGCTTTCCCTCCACCTTCTGGGGGCCGGAATGATAATTCACCTGCATTGTCAAGATCTGTTCCAGGTGGCATTTGTGCAATAAAGCGAGGTGCAGAAACCTTCCCGTGCCATTATGGGCATTCTCGGGAGGAGCAGTAATAACTGGGTTTTAAAAGCCTCGCACGATTGAGCCAAAGTACTTTCAG